CATTTTGTTGGAAAGGAGATATCACAAGGGTATACATGATAACGAAACCCGAATGAAGGAAGCTTCTCCGGAAACCCAGGGAAATCGAGGGCAATCCTAAAATGTTATAGGTATACATAATGCTTTCCGGTTTGAATTCGTTTTTTTGATTTTATTATACTGACAAAGCGGCCAGAGTGTGTACTTAGTACGTATCTACCTACCGTATTAATGAATTATTCTTCAACTTATCTTTGTCTTCCTACCCATTATGTTAAATGGTAATTTTGTGATTTATGGCAGTAACTACTACCACGCATCACAAATAGACTAGCGATTAATGACAGGTTACCAAGGTACTAAAAACTGTCATTGGTTTTTGTTTGTATCAGTTTAATAGGTTTCGTAACCTTTATTTCATATACAAATGAATAAATAAAAAAAAATTACCGACTCGCTTGCCACTTACATAAAAAATAGTACTGAGTGTCGAGCTTAGTCTCATTGAAAACTACAAACATAATACTTTTGAGAAAATCAGCGTAATAAAAATCAGTAGAAGTTTTGAAAATCAGTGATCAAGTTTTATTAAATACAAGCGGTTTAAAATAGTGCTGCTGTATTACTGTTCAGGGTACTGCCTTTTTTTTTTTTTTTTTGTTTCCAGCGATATAAAAAACGTTAATCTTCTCGAAAAGTGCTACTCAACCTTTCAGATTATTATTGTAGGCTCTGTAAACATGAAGGGAAACGTCGACTCTATATTTGTATTCGCAATACTGGAACAAGCACTCGCAAGTTCGGTTTTCAGTTTTATTTGATATAATTGAGCCTAATTTATAATTAAAAACAGCTCTCTTTTTATTCCAGTGTCTGCTCGCGTTTAACTCGCAAAAATAAATTCTCTCACGAGGACAAATAATATACTACTACCAATAATTATTCGCTATCTCAAATGAGATGTTTTCTTTAACGTGTTCCTTTTTTCAATATTAGAACTACCCGAATCGCGTAGAAGTAGAAAACGTACATGCCTCCTGCGGCTGGTTCGACCCCACTACTCGAAAAATATTGTGGGATGAACATTATGTGTCTAAGTGTATATATGTGTGACATATCCGTTCCATAGAAAAAGTGAACTAAGGCAGAGTCTTTCTTCGAAAACCATCGCGACCACAATCCCATGAGTAGTCTTTACAATTCGAATTTTACCTTAATCTCAACAGATTACTTTGAATGAGGCTCAAATTGTTTTACTTTTTAAGCTTAAATTGTTTTATCGAGCTAAAAAAACCCCCCCCCCCAAAAAAAAAAATGAAGGTAGGAATATAAATACTTTACCAAATCACCAGAGTTTCACTTGGCACAACAACAACAACTTATAATTTACGTATTTTATCACTTTAAAGAACTAATGAAAAAAAAACGAACTCTCTAGCATATTTAGCGGTTTGCCATTCTTATGGTCTCTTTTTTTGTCTCCATCCTCCCTCTCCTCCTCATTTCTTCTTGTCTTTTTTTTTTACCCTCTATTCTCTTTTCTTCTGGCGTTCTTCCCCTTTCCTGCCTCTATTCTGGTCTTTTTTTTTGTTCTTTTTCGCTGGATTTCCTTATTGTGTGGGGATATCTCTCCTTCCCCTTCTCCTATTTTCCTCGCTTTCTCTTCCCTGTCTGCTACTTTTATCGTAACCAGGTTCCCCTCGCTCCCATTATTCCGCTATTGTGTACTACCTCCCCTACTCTCCCCTCCTTTCTATATAATCTTCCTTGCTTGTCTCACGTTCAGCCTCATGTTTGTTATTGATATTCATTTTCCTCCCTATCTTTCCCTCACCTCTTCTATGCTATCTGAACGTTTTTTTATTCTTTCTTCCCTCCTCATTGGTCCCCACTTCTGTCCTTGTCACCTATTCTTTCTCATCTTTTTATTCAATTGTCCCTCCCGCCCCTCTCCTTTGCAGTTCTCAATCATTACCCCCCACTCCATTGTGCTACGTCTTGTTTTTTCCCTACTACTTTCGTTACTTCTAAAGCATCCTTCACAGCCGTCTTGTCTTTCATTTTTTTCCCCTCCCATAACGCTCCATCATCATCCCCTTTTCTGCCTCATTCCTCCCCGGATTTTCCCATGTTGTCTACTTTCCTTTTCATCCGCATTTGATTTTCCCCTCTTTCTGCTCCGCTTCTCTTGTATATAATTCGCCTTCTTTCTCCCATTAACTATATCTTCTGTTCTTGCTATTCGTCATCATCTGGTTCTGCATGCCTTCCCCTTTCCTTTCATAGCTCTAACCGCTTGTTGCACCTGCTCCCGTTCCTTTTCATTTATCTCTATCCGTCTTTTTTCTGTGGTACTCCCGTCCTTTATCCCTTCCATCTAACCTTTTATGCCAGCCACTCCTGCTCCCAATCTATCGTGCCCTAACCATCTTTATCTTGTCCATACTCTTCCTCTCCTCGTTCCTTACTTTTTTTTCTCTGTCCTCGTTTTCCTCCCAGTTCTTCTTCACTCTCTGCGTTTCTCTTCCCCCGCTACCGCTCACCCTAATCTCTCTCTTTTTCCCCCTTCTACTTGCGCCATTCAACGGTTAATCTTTTCCCCCTTCACTTTCATTATCACCAACTCTCATTCTTGTCCCTTTTTTCTCTCCTTTTTTCCTCCTCTTTCCCTATTTTTTTACTCGAAACTTGTGCTCTCCTTCTTACCTCTTTGCGGTGCCTCGCTCTGGAACAATGTCTTCCCTTCGACTTTCTGCCACTCTGACTCCCTCTCTTTTTCAGACCCATCACCATGGCTCCAGCCCTTCACCATTTTCCCTTCCTCTCTTACTCTTCCTGCGACCCTTTTCCCCGCCCCCCCACCTCGGTGCCCCACATCCCTACTTCCCCGTCGCATTCTCTCTTTACTTTTCCGCTACTCCTCGCCCTTGTTCTTTCTCTGCTTGGCTTTTTTTTATTTGCACTTTTGGCCTCTAACTTCACTTTTTATCTCTGTTTCCTTCTCCTTACCCTTCCCCCTCATCTTGTATCTTGTATTAACTGATGTTTTTGCTTTCAGTCCCGAGACTATTAAAGCTTCATCGGACGCAGAACCGGTGGGGTAGCCAGAACCCACGGGTTTGGACCCTCCGCTATGGGTAGGGTCGCGCATGTGCTCATGCGTGCGTTTAACTACTATGGTGTGTCATCTAAGGGCCGTCGAGGTCGCCGGTTCGGACCGAGACCCCGACGGCCGTCGACTGTGCATTTAGCTAATCGGTGGCTGGGAGCGGTGAGAACCGCCCCGGAACGCGGCGTGTACCTTGTGTACGCGTTGTGTGGGTCTCGCCGTGCTCGGAGGCGAGGGCGAACTGGTGTGTGATTGTTGTTGGTTACACTAAACTGTGGGTGTAGTGTTATCCGGCGGGACCCCCGGCGGTGGGTCCATCGTATCTAAGTCCTCTTCGTCGACCGGGTCGATGAGGACGTTTCGCGGGCGACGCTTGTTTACGTTCGCGTTAGTGTCCGGTAGGTAGTTTGCTGCGCTTACCACAAGAGGGTGGGATGATGCTGGGCTCTATCGAAGAACCGTTTTTTGTCAAATCTTTAAAATGAGCGCGAATCGTCGGGAGTCTGCAATCGCTGTGGATGGGTCGACGTTGCGCTGATACCATTGCGCACCGGTTGGCTGGCGCGGCGGATAAACTTACTTGAACTACTTGCAATTCGGTTAATGCTGCGTAGGATTTATGTGGCGAAGATCATGCATGCGTAGGACATGATTGGCCTTACGCAAGCTTTATATAACAGTAAGGGTTTTGTGCCTTAAGGGCATTTTTACTTACATGCTTATTCGTTTAAATTGTGTGTAGCCGAGCCGGAGACGAACGCGGCTTTATTTCGGACTTGATTGATGTGCGTTAGTGAAAGTCATACGCGAGTCGAAAGTGACTCCTAGATATTTGACCGTGTTTTCTTTCTCCCAGGGGAGAGTTTGGCCATATAGTTATATTTGCCCCAACTTTCTGGGTACTGGGCGAGGACCTTTGTAACGGTGGCGGGATGGGGGTTGGGGGGTGCTACGAGTGAAGTGAATCGCCCCACTTTTTTCTGGATTAATATCAATTCTCCATTTGCGGAACCAATCGCCGAGGCGGGTCGGCGGCGCTTTGGAGTCGAGTTCGTTAAATTGACTGAGGGTTGCGATCTGAGTAAAAGTAGCGCCGTGTCATCCGCGAAAAGCGCGAGATTGACGTGGGGGTCTCTAGGTATTTCGCTCGTGTAGAGCGTAGAAATAACAAGGGTGAAGAGGCAGGAGCCTGTGTGGTACGCCGCCGTGAGGCGGCGGCTTGTGGATGAGGGTGCCCTCGACTCGATATCGAAAAAGAGCGGTTCAACAAAAAAGGCCCGGATGGTGTGTACGAGCCTATCTGGCACTTTGATGTGTACAGCTTGTAAAGCAAGCCGTTGTGCCAGACTTGTCGAATGCTTTTTGCGACATCGAAGAAGAGAGCCCCTGTACTGGATGTGTTTGGGGTGGTTTTAGGCCTTTTAGGATGTTGCTCCGTTAGGCGGTATAACTGATCGGGACAAGAGTGTCTAGCTCGAAGCCGAATTGTTTCCGTCGGCAGAGGCCGTTGGAAAAATACGTGCTCTTTGAGCCTGTTTAACAATAGCCGCTCGTAGAGCTTCCCCAGACAACTGAGGAGGCTGATGGGACGATAGCTAGAGGGCTTATTGGCTGGTTTATTCGGCTTGCGAATGCCGATAAACCGTGGCTTGCTTCCAGTCGTCCGGAAAGGAGCAACTGGAGAGAAGCGTATTGAAAATTGTCGCCAGTAAACAGATAAGCGGCCCAGGGAGAGCTTTGAGAATCTTATTACTTATATTATCTGGGCCCGGGGCGGATTTTGGTTTTAAATTTTTAATAATATCTTGGACCTCTTCGGGGGGTCACTGAATTTAAAAAGGTTCGCCTTCCGGTGGAAGCGCAGCCCTAGTCCTCGATTACGCGGTCCACCTCCGTTAGGTGGCCTGAATCGGTGTGTTCGCGCGATGGCGTACATTGCTGCTCTAGGTTGTCCGCAAGGCATTCGGCTTTTTTCGGAGTCATCTAGGGGCTACTGAAGCGCTATTAGGATCCTAACTAAACGGCGGTAGAGATTCGCGGGGGTCTGCTTTCAGACTGCGGGCCAACCGCCAGTAGGCGGTGTGCGATGGCTCGATGTCCTCTAGGAGAGTGTCCCACGTTGTATGTCGGTGTTCCGATACACGATCTTTGACTTCTAGCTGAAGGCGTCGAAGTAGGGTTCGGTTCGATTCCGATCGGTATCGGTCGAAGGCGCGTTTGGCTGCATTTTTCTGTCTAATTAGCAGGCGTAGGTCGGGCGGAAAGTCAAACCGTCGGTCGCCAGACAGTTTTTCACCGTCCGTTCCGAGTCTGTGACTGCGGAAGTAATAGTTTTCGCGGAGAGTCGCTATCGCTCGATTTGCGTCATCGATCGTAGCTATCGTCTCGGTAAGTCTACTAAGTCCTGGGGGTCCAAGGCCTTGAGTTTGACCTCAAGACGATGCCAGTCCACTACGGATTTTGGTCGGAGGGACCGCGCCGGCGTTCTGGCCCAGTTTACACAGGACGGGCCTGTTGGTCTGAGTCTAGTTCATGGATTGTCTCTATCGACTCGATGTCGAGCGAGACCTCCCTGAATAACATTATGTCTAGGACACTCGGTGACGCGTGCTGGTAGTTGTCCACCGTAGGATACCTAGTGGGAGTCGCGGGAGCGACTATACTGAAATTTAGGTTATCGGATAAGCTAAAGAGATGCTTTCCGTTGTTGTTTGGGATGCTGTTGATGTCCCATGAGCCGTTTTTTGCAGTTTAGATCTCCTGCAATTATCACGGAAGGGCCTAAGTTAAGAAGCGTATCTAGGTCGCTTTGAAGGAGGGTTCTATTCCCCGAGAGGTAGGCTGAGACTAGTACAAGAAGCGGCCTGTGGCCGGTGAGCGCTAACCTACAACGCGGATGCCTCTATTTGACTTAGCTCTGGAATGTCGAGCGGGCAACAGTGCAAGGACCGTTTATAATAAATTAATGTGCCTCCCAGACGGTTTGCTAACCGGTCGTGGCGGACAATATTGTAATTTGCGATTCTGGGATCGCGTACACTAGGTTTTTCAAGAATGTCTCTTGCAACTAGGAAATATCTACGTTTATAATCGCGAAGGAATTCCGCGATTTCATCCCTTTGACCCTTTTATGCCGTTTGCGTGAAATAACGAAACAACCAGAGCCCGAGTGTTTTGCTTATCAACCTGCGGTTTGTACTTCCCATTAAAGGTGGTTTTAATGTGGTCTTAATTTATGACCCGGCGGAGCGCGGTTTTATGCGCGGACTATTGTTTTTTTAC